CCCTCGTGGGTAAATGCCCATGGGTAAATGCAGGATTGTCCTAAAGCAGAGTCACTAAGGCTGGAAAGTATAAGTCATGTTCTGGTGGGGGCCCATAGGAAAGGGGTAGAAAGGGCTAGGCAACTCTAGAAGGAAAAGAGCAAACTCAGAATACAAGTCAAATTAAAGACTACCATTGTCAGCCTACCCACAAATCTCTCACCCACGACTCTACCCTTCCATATTCCCCAAGTCCCTGGTACAAATTCAAGGCTGAGAAATAAAAGCAGGTTTTTTTTTTCCCCCCAAGGGTCTCAGTTCCATGTGCCTCCTCAAAAGTCTCCTTCTCTAGCTTCACCTCTTTGTTCAGCTCCACCCTTCCATGAATGGGGCAGGTTATCTGGAGCCTCCTTTTTGTTGGGATACACTCTTAAAATTGTTCTTTTCTATTCAAGGTCTTATTCACTAACAGTGTGTTTTGTCTTGATGCTGCAGATGGCAGAACCTGTTTGGAACATGCAGGTTTGTGGGACTTGGGGTGCCCCCCATTCTGCCTGCTAAACAGTACAATAGTATATACAATAGTACATATATACACCTACTATGTATGTCAGGCATTGTACTGCAGTGAGGGCTTTATACCCATTCTTCCATTTAACTATCTCAACAAACTTTTAAAGGCGGTATTTTATTTATTTACATGTGAAGTGATTGAGGCTCTGAGAATAATTTTCTTAGTCATATAATTAGAGCTAAATACCCAAAACTTGCAACAGATCTGTTGGACTATAAGCCCTTTGCTTTTAATCTTTCACCACCCACTTTCTTAGAACTCATCCTGTGGAAAGCTAGTTGAAGGGATTTGAAGATAATTCAGTATAGAAAAATCTCTTCATCTTTAATTTCCAGGCTCCCAGCTGTGTGACAGGAGTCATTCTCAAAATTTTGTGCTTTAGCTCAGCCTGGCACACACTTGGTGCTCAATAAATTAAGTTGTCCTTAGATTGGAATGCAATTCTGGCTCTTACGGGCTGCCTGGCATCTCCCCTCAAACATGTGGAGCTGTGCTCTCTTGTTTCTCCTCTTCCTCTTGTTTCTCCTCTTCCTCTTGTTACCCTTCAGCACCTGTCAAAGAGTGGCAACATGTACCATGCAGAGACAATTGCTAGGATTTTTTTTTTTTTTTTGCAGCCTCAGAAACGAGGGCCATAAGCCTGAGTGAATGATGAGGGAGTCCCACAACCTTGGCTTTTTTTGTTGCATCCCAGAAAAAACAAAGTTTTCATAATGAAAGAACTCCTGCCAAATTTCTTTGCCACTTACAACTCTTAGAGAAATAGGCATAAAATCACAGAGCATTAGAAGGCCTGCAGAAACCATCTGGTCTAAGCAGGAGCCCAGAAATAGAAGTGATTTAACTAAGGTTGCACAGCCTATTAACTATCCCAGTGCATTGGTGAATCCCAGGAAGGGATGCATTAGTATCTGGAGGAACTGGGAATGCTAATTACACCTCCTCAGGGACTTGGTTTACTTTGTCTGACATTAGCAATTCTACGGCATGATTTTATACCTAAAAAAGGAAACTCTTCTATATAAATTTCCCAGAGACTTCTTGTTTGCATAATTGCTGTTGGGTCACTTCAGAATGATAGATGAGAAGCAAGCAAAAACATATGCTGGGTCCTCCCTGGTGGCGCAGCGGGTTAAAGCACTGCACTAAGAAGCTAAAGCCTCTTCCCCATAAGTTTGATCCCTGCCTGCCCCAGAGGTGATCCACATGGCGTGGCTGACCTCTCCTGGCTCACCTCTCCTGGCTCGCCTGCTGCTCCCCTCAGCAGTGTCTTTGTTGATCTGCCTGTTCTGCTCCCCACTCTGTCTCTGGTGAAGCCTCTCACTGCCTCTACACCTCTGGCCTGTACCCCAGTTCTGTATACACAAATAAATAAGTCTTTAAAAAAAAAAAAACACTATGCCACACAATTCAGCCCAATCTATGATGGTCTAAAGAGGGTATGTGTCTCCAAGTTGGCAAAGAAATAGTAACAGATGTGGAGAAAAGTGGTAGTGTTAACTGTTGTAAAGTTCTTAGCTAATTTTAATGCCACATATGAAAATAATTCAGTGACTTCCATTGTTAGTAATAGTGATTATTGATTTTTTTTATTAATTTTTTTTAAAGATTTATTTATTTATTCATACAGAACTGGGGTATAGGCCAGATGCTCAGGGACGGTGAGAGGCTTCACCAGAGACAGAGTGGGGAGCAGAACAGGCAGATTGACGAAGTACACTGCTGAGGGGAGCAGCGGGCGGGTCAGGAGAGGTCTGGCTCGCCATGTGGTCTCCTCCTGGGCAGGCGGCAGGCGGGAATCGAACTCATGCGGAAGTGGCTTCAGATTCTCAGTGCTGTGCTTTAACCCGCTGCGCCACCAGGGAGGGCCTTTTTATTAATTTTTTAACTCTCACTTTACCCCATACTTATTGTAAGAGCTCTAGTAAATCATTTCCTGACATTCATAAAGACCCTGAATTCTGATGGAAATATCAATCTCTTCTTTTCTAAAATTACTACCCCCCTCTTCCAAACCAGGTGGTTCCTATGAAGACTGTCAGTAAAAGGGCATGTGGTCAAGTGAGGCCAATCAGAATCCTTCCCTAAGATTTTGTCTTTTAAACTGGAGCTATATATTTTGCATCTTAGTGACAAATATGTAAAGATTTGGGTACTAAAAGTGATGACCTATTCTCAACAATGGGTACAAAATGCTGGTCTGAAGAGGAACCAAGGCTGTAATGTAGAGAGAAGAATAAACAGAAGCAGTTTGTTCATTTATATTTTTAAATGATTGTTGTTAAGATTAGAAGTTTTGTGGCAGCTCTGCAGGGAAGAAATAGTAGTGGTTTGAACCAAATTCATGGCAATGAAAATGGGGAAACGTAAGTCGACCTAAGAATAATTTAAAAATAGAACCTGAAGAATTGCTGCTGAATTAGTTATAGACATGAAGGAAAAAAGAAAAATAAGGAATTTAAAATGGCAGGTTTCTGTGAAAACTGAGGTTGAAATAAATTTGTGGCACAATCAAGAGCTCCAGTTTGGACATGTAAAGTTTGAAACATGGAGATTGCTAGTAGGAACTTACATATACATGTCCTTGCCAAAGACTTGACAAGGCTCTCAGACTATGTGAGAGCTTAAGGAAGAGTATAGCTAGAGCAAAGGGCCCAACTGTCCATCTAGCCATTTTATCTGCACAGAGTAAATCCTTCTGCTGGGCTTCTGGTCAGCAATTTCAATTGGAAATCACAAACATTACAGAGAATTCCAAGCAATGAGAATGAGAACTAAAGGGTAGCTATCGAGTAATGAAATAGCTGTCAAACATACTAAAACTTCTCCATCTGTTTATGTCTTGATTCTTTCCCTGCTCTAAACCATATTGACGTTTGTCTTTGGAGATATTTTTAGAGCCAGACTTTAAGAACCAAGGACATTTATCAGACTTAGTTTCAGATTACTTAGGATTGTTTCCTTTGGTAGATTGAAAAATTGGTCACAGTATTTTACAGCTTTTCCCATTGAGAGATAGCATCTATTTCTCCATCCCCTTAAAATTGTGCGTGGCTATATGACTTGCATTAGTTAGTGGGACATTACTAGCAAACATGATGAAAAGAAAAGCTTAAAAAGTGCTTCTGCACTGGATCTTACTCTCTTGGCTGCTGAGAAAACAACCACAATGTGGACAAGTATGGAAGATGGAAACATCTGGAGAGAGAGATCTTAGCCACCTTAGTTAGTCATTTCAGTTGGTTCCCCAAACATGCGAATAAAACCACTCTAGACCACCCAGACAACCCAGAGAATCATGATACATAAAAAATATTTCCTGATTTAAGTCACTATGTTTCTGGAGTAGTTTGTAATATCCCTCAAAGAACAATTACTTATGAACCAGTTATCTAAAAATGGTTTACAGGTACCGATATTCTTTCACCCTTAACTCTTTTTGGAAGATTTGGACTTGATCCGTCATCAAGGATTTGAACTGAAATACAAAAGCTTAATTGAGGAGTGCAAAACATGATCAGTGGGTAGTGGCAGTATATGGGAGCAGTGGGGTTTTCCTAGGGCTCCTGAAGACAATGCCACACAGGTGACTCAAGTTTTCCAGTTATATGATTTTGTAGAATTAGGTATCTTTCATTCAGAGATCTTTGTACTGTGTATTTAGTGGTTATTTTACTATGTCTAGACTAAACTACAAGCTATTGGTCTGTAAGCCTTATGAAGGCCAAGAACTGTGTCTAATTTGCCTCTGATAACATCCTGGTACATATTCGACACCAGTTTATTGAATAAATAGAATTTTTTCTACTTTACACAAGGGATCCAGGCTTTCAAAAACATTGCCCAGCAGTGTTTATATCTGATGGGGCTCTCTCTTGCCCACTGTCCTAGGCATATCTAACTCTCCAGAAAATCAGGCACAGGTTTGGAGTAAGGAATCTGAAAACAATGAGATACTGACACTGGTCACTGTAATTCCTTTCACTTACTTCAAAAACCACTGGCAAACAAATTTAAACACATTTCTTGAGATGGTCTAGCAAACTTGTAAGCCAAGCAAGAAGCTTTTGGGTAGGAACAGATGATGAGAATGGGAAAGTCAGGCGTGGGGCATGCTCATATTATTCTGTGGATGTCACAAGGCTGCAGTCACAAAGTAATTGTGAAATTAATGTGCCAGCCATTATCCAATAATTTAATTAACTCTGAGAACCCTTGGGAGTCTATTATCCCCCTAAATCCCCTTTATCAAAGAGACGATCTGAAATGGAGATTTAAGAACATGAGTCAGACAGTGAGTTCAAATGACCCTAGTGAGTGACTTAGGCATGTTAACTTTTTCAAGTCTGTTTCCTTATCTGCCAACTCCAGAGAAAAGTGTTTTAGAAACAATGCCTCCATAGATGATAGACACCTTGCACACACAGGAATCATTAGATTTCATTTATGTTTATACAGTGTTTAATAATGCCAGGTCCATAGGAGATAGAGGGTAGGTGTATTTCTTCTTCTTAGAGATGATCCAGAACCTAATATTGACTCCATCCCTATTGCACTCTCAGAGTGACTATAGGGAATTTCCTCTTTGTCCTTAGCTCTCGAACTTCCTTTGTGTCAAGTGAGGAACCTGACCAAGATCTTCTTAGTTGCCTTCCATATCTAATATTCCATGAGTCCTTCACCATTCAGTATACTCTACCCAGTTGCTGCTTCTAGAAGTTAATAATGCTACATACTGAAGAGACAATAAGAAGTCACAGATTACTTTATATTTACAGATACACATGCATTTAAAACAGATTCTGTAAATAACTACAATACTGTATCACACTTTTGGCCTACATTTGCCTCTTTAGAAGTCTTTTTTTTTTTAATCTTCTTTTATTTGGATTATCAAACAAGACAAAAATCAGGACAAGTTGCCACTAACACATGTTATGCGGCTTCAACCTTGGTGGCTAATTGCTCTATTACTGTGATTGATGAACATTGCTCTTGAGTCAGCTGGAGGCTGCTGCCTTCCACTCGGCAGAAACCAGGTCACAGACTAGGGCTGGGAAATCGCCATCTAACAAACAGTTCTGTTTGCTGCCGTGTAGAAGATTTTGTCACTATTACACTTAACTCAATTCCATCTGTTGTGAAGAAGCTTTCTCCCTTAAGCTGGCTCCTGAGTTTTAAAGAATTTGACAGCTTTCAAAATAAACACTTCAGTCTTTACCTGGATATTCAAGAGGAGAAAAAAGATTAGTAGATACTAAAATGTCCAGGAGTCATAAATAACATAAAATACTTGTACTAGGATAAATGGATGTTACCACTCAGAAAAATATTAACTTTTCTTGACCTTTAGATTTTACAGTGTAGAATCACACCCAGAATAACTCCATTGTGAAGGGACCACATTCTTCTGTGATTGGAGAAATCAAATCACTCTTCCCAAGTGCCCCAATGTTAGAGTGGGGAGACCCCTTAAAGCATCACTTGACAGCTAAGTAAGAAATGCCTGACAGAGGCAGATACAGGCACAGTCAGTATTTGGGCCTGAGTTATGTTATTCACCCTTGGGACCTGGTTGCCTCAGAGGCTGACTCTCCTTTCCAGAATTGTTAAAGATCCATTACCTCATTATAGTCTAAAAACTGCCCAATGTGTTCACAGATTAAAGACATAAGCCTTTTTTTCCAGTGAACTTGACACCTGACAGCCTTAGGATTGATTCCTGGCAGTGTGATCCAGACCAAGTCTCTTAATCTCTTTGAATCATCTATAAGAAATGTAGCATAGAATGTGGTTTAAGAGTACAGACCTTGGATTTGAGCCCCAGCTATACCATGTAATCTTTAGGCAAGCTAAATCTTACACTACCTTAGTTTCCTCATCTTTAAATGATGTTGATTATAGGACCTCCTGTCTAAAGACATTAGGAGGAAAAATTAGTTAATACACATGAAATGCTTGCAACAATGCCTAACACAGAATATGACATTAGTAGCAGCTACAATACAATTGGTGTGATAAACCTCATCTCTTGGGTTCATTTTGCAGATAACTACAGATGAAATATGCAAGTGAAAAAAAGACACAAGAGTTAGTGATGCCAAAAGGAAACTTAAAGATTATCCAAATAACTCTCCCCCATTTTATAAGTAGGAAATCAAGATTCAGAGATGAGGAGTAGTTGGTCCAGAGTCACACTAGTTTAAGAGTAGAGTCTAGGTCTGATTCCAAGTCCAAAACTCCATCCTCTGTACTGTATCAAAGAACAGCAATCTCCAAACGGCCATTTTATGTGGTTCTTGGACCTATTGCTAGTTATTGTAATTTACTGGAAAAATTATTTGCTTCTGAATTCAGGAGAGAAAACTTGGTTAAAACTCTTCATCTTCCCTCCCTCCCCAACTTTTAAGGAGACATGACAGTGCAGGTTAGCTGGGGATTCAGGCCAGGGCCAGGTGGAATGATTCTCAGGAATCATCACTGATCTCATAACATTATTTGAGCTAAAACCCAGATGTATGCCCATGTCCATATAAGCTAGAATCATGATTTACTCCATTCAGTTTGCCTCTGGGGTCTGAGGGGTATTTTTTCGTTTTGTTTGGTTTGGTTTGGTTTGGTTCATGTTTGACTAAGGCGCTTTATGCTAGGAGTAATTTCACGTACCATCTTTGTAAAATCTTTGTAAAAACTAAGATTTCACTCCCAAGAGAATGAGGTTAGGCTTGGGATCTCTAAGTTCAGTTTTCCCTTCGTAGATTTATTCTGCTTTGAATTACATTAATGAGTTGAATAATTCAGTAATTATTGAAAGATGGGTTGGAGGAAAAGGTGGGATTAGGAGAACACCTATGAAGACTGGCAAATGGAATTATAACTTTTTGACTTCGGAAAAGGGCAGATCCCTGGGTTCATGATTTCTGTTCTCAAATCATCTAAGGTGTACAATGCAGAGATAGCATAGATGCAAGGTCTCTGACAACAGAGCTTTACAAATGGGCTAGAAAGAGAAAGAATTTCCAGGAGGCAGATTTTACTTTAAAGGAGTGAAAACTTTCTAATTATAAGAGCTGTCTGAAAAGGTATGGACAATGAGCTCTGGTCCCTACCTAGAATATATGCTTTAGAACAAAGAGGTTGGTTGTGAGGCCTGGCAGCTATTTGTCCAGGATATAAAGATTGGAATTGACCAATCAAACTAGATAAAATTTAGGATCCCATTCTGGTAGTCTAAGAACCAGAGACTAATATGGGTAACTATGGTTGCTGTTCTCATAGTTGGAGCCAACTGGAAAACAGCACAGTCAGCAATTCATGATCTGCTTCTTCATGTTTGTGTTTGTTTGTGGTTTTTTTTTTTTTCCTTTTCTCTTTGTCTTTCTTGAGCTTGCTTGCTCTTTCATATAGCAGGAACCTTTGACATTTTGCAGGGGATAATCTTTTTCTTTTAAGTGTGTTTCTGACTCAGCCTTAGCTCCTTCAGCATCATTAGAGAGTTTGAGCTCTCTGGAGATTAGCTTTGGCCTGTCACCACAGCAACTTCCCAGGCCCTGCGGGCATCTGTGGTAACTGGCATAGGGCTCTGAGAGCCAAAGCTTGACTTGCAGTGAGAGGAGGCCCCACTGGGAGCTTGATATGAAACAAGCATGTTGTTGTTTGGGAGGTTTTCTTTAATAGGATTATCTCTACAGGTGGGTCTCACTTTATACACCATTGACCAGGCCTGAAAAGTGTGTATGTGCGGGTGTATACATGAAGGAAATATTAAAAGCAGACAAGAGACAGACTCATTTTCTAAGTCCTTACAGTGAATCCCCTTCGTAAAATGGAATCCTCTTTTGTAAAGTGAATTTCCACCCAAAATGTGACCTGTGTTAGTCTAGTGCTGAGTATCTTGAGTGGGGCCACTGAAGAGAACCCCAGGGGCATGCTTCAGCCTCCACTGTAGGCAAAGAACAGTAGGCAACTCAGCTTGCTCAGGGGTAGGGCGGACATAGTGTGGTAAAGGAAACAGTGGGTGTGGGGCCATTATGAGAGGACAGAGAGAGGAGGGGCCTTGCCTAGCATGAGCAGTTCTGCTGCAGTAACGGTGGGGTGTCTGAGAGGCGAGTGTTCTTAGCGGTGCCCAGCACGGAAGGGTCCGTGTCCAGTGAGTCAGACATCTTGTCGCAAATGGCATCCACCAGGCGTTCAAAGGCCTGTCTCACATTGATGTTCTCCTTGGCGCTGGCTTCAAAGAAGTCAAACCCTGAGGAGAGAAGACATAGGTGAGAATTTGTCCTTTGCCTTTCATGCCACCTGACCAAATCAGTCTGGATTCATACAGCCTGTTTCAGGAGTGAAACACAGAGGTCTAATTCTGTGGACAGAGAATTCTCTTTCAAGGAGATACAGGGCAGGGATTTTCTACACTTGTTTTAGAACCAGACAGAGCCTCACTCTATTAATGACCAGCTGGGAAACCCTTAGCAAGTCACCTGTTCTCTTTATTAATCAACTCTCTGGTTTATAAATAGATAATTTTAGTTATCTCACAGAATTATTTCAAGAATTTTCAATAAATAATGCATAAAGTATATAGCCCTGTGCTTGACACAGAGGGTGTGTTAAGTGTTTGCTGAAGGAGTGAATACCTTAATTTATATGCACAGTACTTCACAGTTTCCAAATCACTTATCAAAACCATTATCTAATTTGTTCCTCAAGAAAGTGTCCAGGCAAAATCTCTCCATTTCATGAATGCAGACACTATGACTTTGAGAACTAAGCTGACTTACCCAAGGTAGGGAGAGGCATCAGCACCAGAAGCACAGTTTTAACCTTTTTGATCAGAGGTTTCCTCCTCCCCTGCCTCCCACTCACACCAGTCTGGCCATCTTTAGCTGGGCTCTGAGAGGCAGCCAAGATCCACAGTGAATAAGCAAACTTCATTTGCCCCTTCTACCCACAGACACACTGATTATTACAACTCAGTTGGCTTTCTTCCTGAATTCCAGTAGGGTTACTCTATATCTTTCCCTCCTCACATGAACCCAGCAAATACCCCAGGGAAAACTGCACCTGAAGCCAGAGACGTTACTGTCTGTTTGATGCCTTGACATCCCTAACGTCACTTTTATGACCATGACCAGAATATAGTTGTATCAAGAAGCACAAGAAAGGTCCTCTTGATTCAAAGTGGTGACTTCCCAAGTGAGAAATGTTGGCTGGGTGGGTGGTGTTCCTCAGAAGCATACTCTGCCTTCTCCCTCATGTCCCTGTCCTAGCCTAATCCCTCCTCTTGAATCTGTCCACCTTCCTCTCTCTTTCCTGGTTTCATTTGGCTCCTTATATTCCTCATACTTTCTCCTTGAGATGCTAGCCTAATATTTATTGAGCACCTACCTATGCCAAACACTATGCTAGAAACTTAACAAATATCCTCTTACTAAATCCTCACAATAACATATTGGGTAAATATAAACAGCTCCAATTAATAAAGGAGAAAATGCATTTATGTGATTTTATAATGGAAATTGGCTTTAGACCTGGTTTGACTGGTTCCAAAGAGTATACGTAGCCTAGCTCCCATTTCTTCTTCCTCTTTATCTATTTCATTTTTTTCCCCCAGTCCCCTTCCCCCATCACATCTTTTTCTTACTTTACAAGTCCCTTTGACCTCCTTTACTCTTACCTGACTACCACAGTGTCTGAATTTGGACAAATTCCTTCACCTTTCTGAATCACTTAACCTCTCTCTGAATCTCAGATTCCTTATATATCAAACAGGAATAATAACAGTGTCTTCCTGCTGAGAGAAGTTGGGAGGATTGAGATGATGGATAAATTGCTGTACAAAAGCTGCCTGTTATGACAGTTTCTTTCTGTTCTCTTTTTATCTTGCTCTTCTCACCTTTTTATTCCTTTCTCCCTTTTTCATTTCATTTATTCCTTTCTCCCACAAAGGAGGGGTTCTCTTTCCTTTGCCTTTCTTCCCCCTATAATCACCACATCATAGGGCTGGGGAAAATGAAGCCCCAAGTACAAGCAAGAGAATGCTTCCCCTGGCCTTCCCAGCTTGCAGGCATTCACAGTTCCGCCAGCCCACCTCTGACTGACAGCCTCTCCTGTGGCTTGTGTCTTGACCTGAAAGAGGCAAGCTGCAAAATTGCCCACTAATTGTAGTCCTGTGATGAAGCATGCAGCTGCTGGGTCATTATTTTGAGGTCTTAGAAACCCAGCTTCAGAAAACCTTAGTATATAGCTCTGACCTTTGACCGACTATTCACAAGTGACCATGTCTGCAGAAGTGGAGAAAATATATTACTTGTTAGGCAGAGGGCAAACCATCAGTTTGGATGAAGGTGAGGATACAGGTCCAGGCCAGGGGCACACATCCCTTCTGAGAAACTGGCACTGAGGGGCAGACATGCCACACTGTGCAGGTGGACAGTGGGAAGAGGTCCAGGAGTCAGACAGTCTGGATTGGAATACAGTTTCCATCAGTTACTAGCTATGTGACCTCCGGCAAGTTGCTTATTTTGTTTCCTCATCTGCAGAATAAAGTGTTTATCATCTACTTCATAGGGTATAATGAGAATTAAATACAAAATATATATATTATATATCATGTTACATATAATCTATATATAGTATATTCCAGTGTATATCTACCAGGACAACCATAACAGTATGTTATTATTAGAACACTTCGGGGCCCTCCCTGGTGGCACAGCAGGTTAAAGCACAGCACTATGCAGCTAAAGCCACTTCAACATGGATTCGATCCCTGCCCCAGAGGTGACCCACATGATGTGGCAGACCTCTCCTGACCTGCCCACTGCTCCCCTCAGCAGTGTACTTGTCAGTTCTGCCTCTTCTGCTCCCAACTCTGTCTCTGGTGAATCCTCTCACTGCACCTGCACCTCTGGCCTGTACCCCAGTTCTGTATGCATAAATAAATCTTTAAAAAAAAAGACAGAACACTTAAAGTAGTGAGATATGAGGCAGTAGTACCTGGTCAAACTAGAGATCTTGTATGTCCTGCCAAAGTGATATCTTCACAGTCATCTCAGTCACCACAGTATGAGACCTAATTCAAGCACCTGCTTATGGGTTTCCTTTGCTACTAGAACAACCTCAAATGTACCCTCACCCAACTATGGTCAGAATCCTATAAGGCTCTTCATTAGTGCACCCAAATGTTAACTTTTCCTCAGGTTCATTAAAAAGTTTCTCAAGAACTGAGAATCTAGCAAGGTCAGGAAAATGACAACCAATTAATCAGACGAGCCTCTAGTCACTTCCTCTCTGTAATTGGCTCCAGAACAATGGGATTTCTGCTATCTTTAATGGGGCCCTGCTCTTAACTGAATCTGAGATGATCCTCCCCCTCAAATTGTTTGCCTGTCTTTCCTGAAGGCAGTTATCACAGACCCACAGACTGTATCTATAATGCCTGCTTCCCAAATTTGACTTCAGAATGCTTGTATGCAGCTAAATATATCTTTTCTCATCCTGAAAGTAACCCCCAAAACATTTCTTCTCTATTTTTATGTTTAGATCCCCCTTCTCTATCCCATGTTGACACCTCCTCATGTCTGTCACTTATCAATCTTCAACTCATTTCCCTCTGGTCACTGATTTTTGGCAAGGGACCCCCTGTCTCCCTTTCCACCCCACATTTGTTCTCATTCTCAGGAATTCTGGGTTTCATGTGGGCAGTCCACCCAACACCTTGACCTCTATCCCTTAACTACCTCATCTCCACTTAATGGGAGAGTGACCTCTTCCATTTAGCTTCAGCTGTGCCCTATCCTTATAACTTGAGCCGTTTTAATTCAGATCTATGTCAGTGGGCCTGAAAGAGGTCTCCTTAATGCAATAGCTAGCCTCATTGGTCTAAAACCCAAAAACCCTACATGACTTGGCTTCTGTCTACTTCTCCAGTCTCTCCTTCCTGGTTCACATTATAATCCAGAAACATTGACACTTTCTTTTTTGGTGCTTTATTATTATTACTTTTTTAATGATTTGGTATTTTTTTATTTATTTAAGATTTATTTATTTATGCATACAGAACTGGGGTACAGGTCAGAAGTGCAGGAGCGATGTGAGGATTCACCAGAGACAGAATGGGAAGCAGAACAGGCAGATCAACAAAGTACACTGCTGAGGGGAGCAGAGGGGGAGACAGGAGAGAGGAGAGGCCTGCTGCCCCATGTGGATCACCTCTGGGGCTGGGGAGCAAACTCAACACTGAAGCAGTTGCACTAGCTTGCAGTGCTGCATCCTTACCCGTTGTGCCACCAGGGAGGGCCCTTTGGTACCTTTTTTAATGGTACTATTATTCTAATTCCTACTCCTAACCATCTTCATTACTTACCTATAGAATCAGTGATTCCAGAGAGCCCTCCCTTTCTCTTCTCACCTATTTCTCCACCACTCAGAATATACCGTGTACCTCTTCATGGTACTCCCCAAGGAACCATACACAGTTTTTTCAGATTCCAACAGGAATATGGAAACCATTCTTAACATTTATGTAAGAGAGGAATGCTTTAATTGGTAGTAGAAGAAATAAGGAGTGAAACAGAATAGTGAGGAAACCTAGAGATTATTGGTAGCAAACAAACAAAAAGAGATTATGGCACAAAGGAAGTTAGAACTACTCAAGTAGGAATCAGAAAAGAGTAGTAGCCTTTTTTGTTGGAAGTCAGCCAAGATAGGCATGTAGGAATACACAGTTTTCCTCACTCTAGTCACCTGCCAGCATCTCTTTTTGGGTGACCTGAGCCAGAAAGCAAAATTACAGGAGACTGGGAAACACAGGCTGCACGGTTCAGCTTTACCAGAGGGCATTGAGCCAAAGGTAAAGAATGATGACAAATAGGACTGCCACAACCATATACCCAAAGCATAAAATGATCTCTTTATTGTTGTTTCTCTGGTCAATAGTATCTTTAGGACAGGGTATCTGTTCACCTGTGTCCTCAGGGTCCAACATATGTTCAGGGACTGGCAAATCATTCACTGCACTTGCTGTGGAGCACTTTACATTGCCACCCATGCCTAGAGGTTTGCAATGCCTCCTTGTGGGAGGAATGTATGCCCCATGCCATTGACATTGGGTTCGAACTTGAGCCAATAAATGTGGATGATCCAAGCCCCAACAGAAGCTTGAAGAGATTTTGTGTGATTTCACCACCCTAGGTTAAATCCCAGAATAAGAAGACACATGGAACAGATTTGTGCTGACTTTTAATATTAGTGAGAAATTAACCTTTATTATGTCGGTTCCTTATTCAGATTATGTACTATAAAGAAATCTCACTAACATTAGAAATGAAGGTGGAAATTTGAAGAAAGACTATTGCTGATTTGGGTAAATATACACCTGGATCATAGAATGAGAACATCACATTATCAATCAACATAGTCTGATTAATTGGTTGTCATCTTCTAGAGCTTGCTAGATTTTAATTCCTGAGAAACCTTTTAATGAACCTGAGCAAAAGGTTAACAGTTTGAGTACTGGCCCTGCCACCTACTACCTTGAATGACTGAGAAAGTTACATAATATTCCAGAGGGAAAAATATGGACATACAAGTGTGGCACAGCTCCTGTGTGCAAGAAAATACAAGTGATCTGGACTTAGCTCTTTGTTCAGTGTAAGAGCTGCTGATAATGTTCACATTCCAGGCTAGAAATGAGAGTGAAGGTTACAAAGAGAATTGTTGTGGAGACACAATTTGAACTATAAATCACTGCCCTGAGTTAGCCAGTATCAGGTCCAGCTAGGTCTTAATTTCTTTGTAGCCAGATTCAGTGATGGAAAGCTTCTATTGTTTATCCCAAATCAAAAAAACATTTATGGAACAGCTTAAATAAGTAAGACAATGTCTAAGAGTCTGAGATAACTGAAGGATAAGTGAGGAATTGTATGAAATGAAATTATGGAATTAAAGAGGGATAGAGTCAAACAGATCTTACTCAACTAATCTAAATTCCATTTTTTTCCAGATGGTAAATTGAGATTCAGAGTCAGGAAACAAGGTTCTCAAGATTACATAGTAAACTAGTAGCAGAATCAGGATAAAACCTTCAATCTCCTAACTCCTAATCTGGTGCTATTTCCACTATACTTTACTGGAGTGAGTGTGTGTAGGTATTTCAAAACCACATTTTCAACAGATTTCTACTTCCTTTGTAGACAGAAGTGCATTTCCCTCCTGGCCAGACTCATTTCCTGACAGTTCCAGGAAAGTGAGAAGCCCTTTCTGAGGCTTAGACAGTTTGGACCAAATGGAAATTATCATGGTCATGGAGGATGAATTTGGATATGAAATTCATGATAAAGATGTAGAAAGTTAATGTATTGGTAGATTATGTTGAAGATAAGGAGGATATACAGAACAAGCTATCAGGCCTTTTTTGTCTACTGAGAGAGGACTCTGAATATATTGGCAAGTGTCTGGAAGTAAGGATACATTTAGGCATCATCTCTGACTTTGACAGGATAATTTTGTTTTGCTTGTATTAGACTGCCTAAGTGTTTTTGCCCTTTGAAAATAAATCTATAAAATCAAACAAAAAGATTGATCAAAACATATTTTTGTAGTGTTTATTCTATGCCAGGCTATCTGGGAGGCACTCTGTGTACACAGATAAGCAAGACTCAGTTTCTGTCCTCAGAAAGCTTTTGGGAGGTAAACAAGTTCACCCAAGTGTGATGGGTACTATGTCGTGTGTATGGGGTACAGGAAGTGGATGCACAAAAAGAAAGGAGCTTGAAGGGCTCAGGAAAGACTTCTTGAGAAATGTGAAGTTTGAGCTACTCTCACTGACTGATGAGAGTCAAGGTGAGGATTAGAAGAAAGCTCCCCAAACAGATGGGCACAGTTGGCCCAGGGAGGGGGCTGGGATTCTCACTAGGGACATCAGATTGAAGGCATAACCTGACAGGCTGAGGTCACTTATGTGTGGGTTTTTACCACGTGTTCACTGTTTCCTGATGAGTGGAACCATTTTTAGATACTGAGAACTTCTGTGATGGGATAAGAACAGCAAGGGCCAAGGTGACACAATCACCCTATTAAGCGCTTACAGTTTTACTAATTTCTATTCTAGGCCATCCTGGGGGATAGGGAAGGGGAGAAAGATGTACTGGGCACTCCCCACACATACACACACGTATACACAATACAGGTACATAAAATGCACAGTTCACACTTGTATATTTCCCTGCCTATGTACCCAAATAGCTGTACTTTAAAAACTCAGAGTATCACTTTAAATTACCTTCTCTTCTATACTTAACACCAAGGTTGGGAGCAAAGCTTAGGGAGACTGTATTGAAGCTAAGCATTCATCTTGAGGAAGATTTCTCTAATGTGACCTTACCTTTAACCCCAGTGCACAAAGGTAAGGAAGAGAGTTTTTTTTTTTTTTAAAGAAGGAAAAGCTGTTCTTATAAGTAAGAATTGGTAGGAGTCCTGTCAGTGGGCTGGTGAGACATAACTGAGGCACTTAGACCTCAGTGGAACCCAAGGGTGGTTATGTTTTCACCTTGGAAGTTAAAGCATCACTGAACTACATACTTAAACCACATTGTTCTGTTCCTTCATGCAATTATACTTGTGAATTATGCGAAGAAGCATCACTCAACAGTGAGAGAAATTGTGCGGCTCTTCTTACTAGGTTCAGCATTGTTGCTGTAAGGATGTTTGGTATTAAGGACACTTTTGCATCCAGCATATGGATTCTATTCTATCAGAAATAATGCATTTGTTTTTATCTTAACAACCATGTAACTGCTTATGTTTCTTTCCTTTGCCTAGGTTGCTAGGAAGCTTAAAGACAATATTTTGGCCCAACACTTGCACATTTCCAAGGACCTGTAATGTACATACTTTCTCTCCTGTCTTCCTCTTATTTTCCACTTTTCTATATTTCCCCTTTGCTCCAACTTTTCCATTTATTTATTTTTATTGATGAACTATTACAACATCGCAACTTCTTTGTGGAAGGAGCTGGTAAAACCCAGAGTTCATAAATTTAAATTTCACATATCCGTTCAATATGACACAGTATACATGCTTGTCATAATGAGTTATCTAACATTCACTAGCACAAATCCCCTATGTATATCACAGATATAAACAGAACACCTACACACACAATTCATGATCACCACACACTTACTGTGTAAATTACTAATTGTGCCCCTTCTGATTCATTCCCAGTGCACACAGACACTCATATTCTGCACATACCGAGCTGCTCTGCAAGTTGCCGGCCCTTCTCAGTGGGAACAACCCTCTCTTCCTCCATGTCACACTTATTTCCCACCAGGATAACCTGTGCATTGTCCCAGGAGTACGTCTTGATCTGAGTAGCCCTAAAGAGAGACAGAGAGGGGATTGTGTTAATGATACTCTCCAGGCTAGAAAGGACCCTGCAAAGCTCACAGGGCTAACAACACCCACGTTATTATTGTCAATAAATCCAGCCAAGGACAGATAACAGATACCTGCCCCCATGGACTGTTACAGATGCTGACCCCTGAGCGCTGGATGCAAGCATCACCCAGCTCTTGGGAGTATTCCTGTAATACATGAACCCACACCTTTCTTCACTGCACAGAGTTTGTTCTAAAATGTGTATCTTACACAATAAGTTCTTTAATAAAAACAAAAACAAACAAACAAACAAAAACTTCTCTGGGTCCCAACTGGCTATACAATGGATCCTTCTATTAGGTATTTGAGAACATTCAAATCCTGTCATGCTGACCCATCACCCTTCCTGCTATTACTCCACATTCTCTTCATTTATGCCCCAAATGCTTTTCCATGACTTGTGCCTTTGTTAAATGGTGGGAATTCCTTACCCACCCTAACTCATCATCAAGATCCACGGTTCATTCCACAGTTCATTGCAGGGAGACTTCCCCAGCCCAACTAGCCCCTCTCTCTACCTCTGTGACTCATAAACATTCACTGAGACCTTTGATATTATTTTTAGGAATCATAATATTAGCGGTGGTGGGATGTTTATAAGACTTTTAAAAAATAATTTTCTATACTCAAAATTTTCTAAGTGAGCATATGTTTTATAATGAGAAGCAAAATTTCAACAGAAGGAATAAAACAGGACCATTATATTGTGGAGATAATCTTTTTGTGGGACTAGATCTAACTCTGTCCCAACTATCCCATCTATTAAAAACAATTATTTCCCCTTTTGGTCCCCTATACCTCTTCCTCTCTCTCCTTGAGGGCAGGAACCAGGATCATTCATTTTTGGGGTGCCAGCTCCTCAACAGAGAATAGGGGAAATGTCAGTCATTACGTGATAAATGAGTCAGTAAAATGGTTATCTGGAAACAGCTCTATCCTGAAACAGATGTCCTGAAAATAACATTCAATCTAATTCGAGGCTGAGTGCAACCTGAAATCGATTACCAATCTGCTTCTAAAGCTGAACCTACCACCATTCCTTTCTTTAAGGGTAGGAAGCTGCTGTTCCCTCAAAGATGGAATTCACTCAACTACCACTTGTCATGGGATGACAAAGAGCCAGTTTCCATGCTAGGCACTGAGACTCAGATGGCAGCTGGGGGTTAGGCTGTGACCAAGTTCCCAGCTTCAAAGCTCAAAGACCAGGGCTTGAGAGAGATGGACAGTATTCACCCTCAAGGCAGTACCAGGAGCAAGCTCTCTATAGTTCCCTGTCATCTTCTTCTCTCTCTCCTCCACCCCCATCCACTCTCAGTTCCCAGATTAGCAACTCAGGTTATTCTTGGAGGAATCATCACCAGGTGTTAAAATCACTGTGTTCCTGGGGCAGGATGAACAGAAACTGAAAGAGAAAGGGAAGGAGGTCAAGGCCAAGAGGGTATGAGCAGTGTGGAGACATTTAAAGAAAAGCTTATCACCCATGATGGGCGGTGAGGGGGAAGGGAAGAAGAAAAGAGACAGGAGGGAAGAAAAATCATGACTAGAGGGAAGAGAGGAAATAAAGGGCAGATAAGGAGGAGAAAAAAGAGGAAGAAAGAGAAAGGAATAGAAAGGAGAAAGAAAAAGGGTAGAATGCTTGTTAAAAAGGGAAGGGGAAAAGGCAGAACAAGAGGGTGACAGAGAGGTTGAGAAGGAGAACACAGATCACTGTGAATAATATACACACTAATGACTGCTTTCAAAACCAGAGGGAACTACAGCAGGCAGCCAGCAAGGTTACACCCCACTCAAGGCTCCAACACATCAATAGTGCTTCCCAAAGTCATGATAACCATTTCTTGAGAAGGGGAGTCCTTAGAGGTCACACGTTGAGCAAAAGGGAGCAGGACACAAGCTTGTTACTGGTCAGTGAGTGCTGTGTGTCCAGTTTGTTCACTCTTTCTGATTCCGAAGAAAGTCACCTCCGCCATCCTCATCCTTTCCATTTATGGGAGGTAAAGGTGGCTTTCTCACCCATCCTTCCCCTCATGCTCCCTTCTCCTTATGACTGTGTTCCAGGCAGAAATGCGCAGGTTGCTCAGAGCTGTATCTCTACGGAGCTATACTGATTTCCACTGTGTACGGAACCTTTGTAAACTTGCACTAAATGTGCTCTAGGACCCCCAGTCTTAATCCAGAATAAACCTTACAGGGAAGCAGAATGTAGATTCATTCACCACCATGGCCAGAATGATCTTTCTAAAACTTCTGTCTGAGTCCATTGGTTCCTTACTCATGTCATCACTATGGGATAAAGCCCAAATTCCTTACCCTGCACACAAAATCCTGCAGGAGCTCTGCTCTTCCTATTTTTCACCCACCTTCCTGCCTTTGCACATCTAGTTGTACTGTTTTTCTGGAATATTCTTATCCATTTGTCCCTCTGGCTAACTCCTGTTCATTTCATTAGATATAGCATGTGTTGGCAATTCCATGACACCTTGTCTGACTCCTCCAGCTGAGTTAGAGTCCTCTGTAGGAATCCCCCCAATCTGGGGCCTCCCCTCATTGCTGCACCTGTCACATGAGATTATTTTTGCCACTCACTAATCTGTCCTCTTTACTCTGTGGACAGGAGCCATGTCTAACTCATCCTAAGCACACAGCACAGGGCCTATCACACATTAGGCTTTTCATGAGCAGTTTGATGAGTGAATGAGTGAGTGAGTGAGTCTCATACCAGTCTTGGACGGCGTTGAAGGACTCCTCATTGGTGATATCATACATCAGAATGAAGCCCATGGCCCCACGATAATAAGCTGTGGTGATGGTCCGGTACCGCTCCTGCCCAGCTGTGTCCTGGGTGAAAAGTAGAAAGAGTTAGCTTCCTAGAAAGTCTATTTTTGTTCCTAATAAGCTTCCAAGATAACTTACTAGTAATCCAAGGTATATTTAGGAATCTGTTATATGTCTTATTTTTGTATTGATTAAAGCAACATGTTATTTTTTTCCTACGTGTGCTCCTAACTAGAATGATACAGTTTTTAAAACCACATGGAAATTAATGAAAAAAATAATTAAAATCCCAAAGGAAAATAGACAAAAGGAATTACCAATTCACAGAAGGAATATAAATGGATAATTATTATGTAAAAAAGGTTTAGCCATTTTCAATTTTAATTCCCATTATTGAGGAAGTTCATACACTGAGAAATGGCAACCTTTCACCTTTCTCCTGGAAAGAACTTAATTCAGTTTCTGGAAATCAATCTGGAAAGATCAAGAACATTAAAAATAGTTGTACATTTTGGCACAAATTTTTCTTCTAAAAACTTTTCCTACAATAATCAAATACTTATGCACAAAAATATTTGTTAGCACTTTACTTAGTTAAAGCGTGCCATCAGGGGCCTCCCTGGTTACACAAGGGGTTAAGATGCAGCACTATGAAACTCTCTGCAGCATGTCACCAGTTCAAACCCCTGCCCAGGAGGTAACCCATATAACACAGCAGAACTCTCCTGCCCTACCTGATGCTCCCCTCAGCAGTGTATTTCACTCAATCAGCCTGTTCTGTTCCCTGTTCTGTCTCTGGTGAATCCTCTCCTACCCTATCCCCAATCTCTGGCCTGCACCCTAGCACCTGTATTCATAAATAAATAAATCTTTTTTAAAAAAAAGTATCATCAATGAATGTATATGTTCAACAATAGGAATATGCTTAAAATATATGAGTTTCATGTCAGAATACTGGAAGTATGTGTGATGTAACCTTCGTTTTTATTAGCTATAGATGCAGAGAAGAAAACTGGAAAGAAATGCATGAAAAGGCTAGTGTGAGAAACAAGAATTGCCTTGATTTTTTTCTTCATGTTTATTTTTGTTTATCTGCAAAAAGCATATATTAATCTTACATAAGAAGAATCTTACATAAGTGATCCTTTTAGATTGGTGATTTAGAGACCCAGGCAGGATTTCTGAGCAATGTTATTGCCAACAAGTCTCACCTCTTCTCAATGTACCTGCAAAATGTGACTTCTCTATGAGAATTCCTAGTTCCCATCTCTGCCTGGAACCTGGCCCTGTGCCCAGTTCTATGACAGAAGAGTCCTATAACTCAGTTAATTGGAAGAGTCCTGTAACAATTAATTGGAAATCCTTGTATGGAATAATAACTAAGGTTGGACATGTAATAGTTTCATCCCTCCCATTGCCAAGCTCAGGGCTATGCACAGAGTAGGGCTTCAATCATCAAGGAAAACAAAAATGTCATATGAAATTAAGGGCATGTCTTCAGAGCTGGATTTCTAAACTTCTCATTTCAGAATTAGAATCCCTACTGTACTACTTACTATGTGATTGTAGTGGGCAACCTCTAAACTGGCTTCCTATAGTCACTACCTCCTGGTATTCATGTTCTCATGCAATCCCTAATTTACCTTTTTAGGTCTTAGTTTTTTATCTCTAAAATGGGAATAATTCAAATGGCTATACATAAAGTTATTGTGAAGCTTAAGAAAGTTGTTATCTCAAAAATGCTTGCAACAATCTGTGATTTATAGAACATACCACACAGGCATCAATTATGATGTTTGAATCCAAGAGCAGGGCCAGTGTCCCTAGGGTCTACCCAGATGGAGTGGACAAATCTCAGGCCCTGGTCACTTTCTGCCCACTTAACCCTGCTCAGGGCTGCCTCCAATCACAGCCTTAATATGATCCTTCTCACAGACCATATGGCAAATGATGTGACAGAAAGGGATTGGCTAAGGATCGAATTAAGCAGCTTTTGCCCTGATTTCCAACTCCACTACTCATCACTTGTGTGATAATGGACAGTTTGATATGTTCAACTCTTTAAGGTTCAGTTTCTTCATGTCTGGAATGGAAATAATAGTGCCTGTTTTATAGGGTGATTATAATTAAATAAGATGTTTTTTAACTTTTCTAAATTTAATTTCCTCATCGATAAAGTAGTTGTATGAAGATTAGACATAATGTATGACCACTCTGGCAGAGTGTCAGGCACATAGTAGGTGTTCAATAAAGTTCAGAGTAGATGCTGCTTTCATTGTTGATCTTGCTATTTGTTATTTCACTTAAAAAAGTCAGAGACAACAATCTGAGCTCTCACTCTCCTGTGTTCAGTCAAAAGTAGCCTAGATAATCCTGAACTTCCCTCTCTCTATCTTTTATTTTTAAAAATCACTTTGATGAACATTGATTCCTCTCCCCTTGATGAGAATCAGAAATAGAACCAAAGAGGAGACAGGAAAGAATAAGAAAGAGGCATGACTCACTGGCTACTTGAGGAAGGAGACCATGTCATCAAGAGCAATCAATTCACTTCTACAAAACAGACATTCATTAAACTCTTTATATGGTCAGAACATTATACCAGAGATTGGACACCAGAGAAAGCAAGCCACTGGCCTGGCTTCCAGCAATCTGGTTAATGTGGAAGACAGATACATGAGCATGGAGGAAAGTCAACTGACCATTTACTTTTATAAGTGTTTTATATTTTTTATTATCTGTAGGAACAAAATTAAACTACTAATTGGGCATTGTTATGTTAGGCACTATGCTAAGCATTTTTTCTATTTTATTTTATTCAATTTTCAAGAGTCTTGGAATATTATTACCTCATTTACCAATGATGAAGTTAAGTAACTCACCTAATATATTACAACAAGTTTATGAAATTGAGATTCAAACCCAGGACTGTCTGATTCCAATACCTGTCCTCTTCAGGATGTCCCTTACACTATGCTACTTCCTTGTTACATTAGTCTGAAACAGAACAAGTTTCAGTCCCCGTGTTATGTAGGAATTAACTGAGAGTTATGTTTACATAAATATTTACATAAATTACTAGAGTCAAGCAATAAGGACGCAGTCAGGCTTCAAATTCCATCTTTTGACCAAAGTATATACATTTTCAACACAGCCTAAAACCCAACTAGACTTTGTACTCTGGAAATCACCCACAGAATTTAAAGTGAAATCACATGTGTCTGGCACACATGTGTTTAAGCAATATAACTTAACTTCTTTGACTTTCACTAATTCATTGATCCAACACAAACCAGCAGCTTCTTTCTGGGTTTACCTTGTGATTACCCACACATTCTGCAAATTTCTGTTCATCCTATTTTTTCTATTACATGATCTCCCTCAGTACCTCCATTTGTCTTGGTAACAGACTAGTGAGTGCTAAAGTTAAAAAGAAACCTTAGAAGTTATTCAAACCACCCTCCTCACACCTACGAATCCTTTCCATAGCATTCTTGTACTGAGCATTTCTAATGTGGATACTGACCACCTAAAAGGCAGCTATTTCACTGATGGGTAGTTCTGATTATTAGACTGTTTCTTCCATCTGTGGAGCTGAACTCTGCATGTGGTAATTTCTATCCATTATTTAATTCTAGTCTATGGAGACACAAAGAATAAATCTAATTTTCAATTACATGGCAGCCTCCAAATATTCAAATCTTAAGCTGTACCAAGTTTTTTCTTATTATTTTAGTTAACTCCCAGAGAAATCCTGTGAAAGAAGTTTGAGGAGGTGAAAGATAGTGAATGATAAGGGGCTTAAATAAAACCAGGTCTTGGGACTCTAAAGGTCCAGCCCTGTTTTCAAAAGGCAACAACTCTGCTGTTTTAAATCATCTGTCACAGAGACCTTGACAATGAGAAGAATCTCCAGAATAGTGACAGGAACTTAAAACTATCTCAGAAAAACAAGTGAAGAGGAACTTTTAGAACTCTGGGGAATATTACTGCCATCTTCAAATATCTAAAGTACCTAAAGTGCTTTCTTTTTCCTTTTTTTTTTTTTTCTCAAATCTTTACTGGGCACAAATTCTGTGCCAAGTGTTGGCTGGGTCCTGAGGACCTGCTTGAAGTCTACAGCATCTGTTTACCTTAGAAGATAGATGTGGATTGGCAAGGGATTCAGAAGCAGGAGAGGCCCATTTCCATTAAATCTTCTAGTGCCTTTTCTTGACACACACTCTTGCTTTGGAGCTTGGCTTAGCAGAGAAGCTGCCCTTGGCAGCTGGCAAAGTCAAATGCTCCAATTATATGCTCTCCTGGCACCATGTGCCTCTCCTTTGTAGCATTCATCCCTACTGTAATTTTGTGTTTATTTGTATAATCATTTGATTAAGGTCTGTCTCCCTAGCCAAACTGCAAGTGCCACAAGAACAGGATGTCTGGTTTTGCTTACTGTTGTGTCTTTGGTGCCTGGCATCATTCTGGCACAAGGGGTAGGGAGTTTCCAATAAATCCTTGTTGAAAGGATGGATGCATTGGGTATCTGCAAAATTATTAATAGAGCACAGTGAATGTTAGATGGAACTTTCCAAAATCCAAGTCCCATCATCGCCTTCTTGGTCCTTGTTCCCTGGCTTCCATGATCTAAGTTTCCCAAAATAGGGTCTCTGTGTTTCAGCACAGCTTCCCTTCTAGTCTTCCTTCCCCTTCATTCTTCCACTGAAGCAATGAGTTCCAATTTTGCTATTACTTATGGTTTCCCAAATACATTGAAGCTTTCCTTGACTCACTTGTCCCCTCAAAAAGCAACTTCCTTTTCTATCACTTGGTATTTCATCATTGCACACATCATATTTATTGTAGTTACTAGTTCACTTCTCTACCTCCTTTTTTAGGCTATAAGCATCTTGTGGCCCAATCTTATAATAAGATAATCCCCAGACCTTCAGCCTTAGCAACTTGCACATAGTAGGCATTTACTAAGAATACTGATTAATAAAATTCAAAGGCTGACTATGTGCTGAGTGGGAAACAATCATTTAGAACCTGAGGATTAGAGTAAGATCTGAGATCTGATA